CTCTTGGAGGTAGGTGCTTCAGAGAATGTGACGCCAAAGGTGACAACAGTAGAGAAAATGCTTCAAGTAGGCTGACTTTGTGCATCTCAAGCAGTTCATTATTATTCTTATTACAAAATAAAAATGAGCAGAATGTAATACAGAGTATAATACTATAAGCTCATGTACAAAAAGAAAACGTAGTCTTCGGATAAGTAGCGTGGAATACATACAAATAAAAACAAATAGTTCATAGCGATAAGGTTTGTTCAGTTCCATTTGTCATAATACAGTTCAAAGCATTCACTGACGTAGCATTAACCATATTTTATGGTAAATTGTTCCAAGTGTTCCAGATAAAACTGTGACCGCGGAGATTGCTTCGCGATAGTTGGTGCTTCATGTTGGTGTCAATCAAGCCGTGAAGTATTCTAGAGGTTACAATGAGATCGCCTCGAGCTCTTCAGTCGGAAAATGGGGTCAAGTAGCATAACTCAAGGCGATCTTTATAGCTTGGTATGCTAGCTCCAAATCGGTTTCGAGTTGCCCGACGCTGTAGTGCTTCGAAGAGATTTCTATCGCGCAGAAGCGCAGTTTCCCATACAGGACCAGCATATGCAGACTGCAGACTTTCTATCATCCGATTCTTCAGTTAGCTCCAAGCTTTGGCGTTGGGCAGTCTTGTCTTTTTGGGTAATCAAGTAATTTGGAAGGCATTGTGTAAAATGTTCCACTAACTAATCTATCACTGCGAATGGGATGCACCCAGTACTCTCGGAATTTCGCCTTGATTTTTCTTCTCCGTTGTATGCGAGCAATAATAACATTTCTTCACAATATTGTATTTATTTGCATTGCGCGACCGCTTATTTCTACAGTCAGATACAAAATAGTATCGTTCGGAGTAGTCGGCGTCGAGCGGATGTTGGCTAGTCTGCGCACTCTTTTTAGTTGACTCGATGTGCGCACTAGCAGCCCAACCTGACTAAACTAGCGGCCGACAGAAAGTCTGCGGAGGCCTTCAGTCTTACAAATGTAAAGCGCATGTCATATCCTTTGAAATATTTCTCCAGCGAGTATAGGAGCTTCTTGGTTTTGGTCGTTACGAGGTGTATATGCTCTGACCACGATAAACGATCGTTGACTACAACTCCAAGATCAGTATGTCTAGAGACTGCTTCGATGTTGCGATCGGAGTTCTATACCCTAATCGTTGTCCATTTACGCCCCGGCACAACAAATATGCAGCATGGCAAAGCGGCAGCAGAATTCGACAGGATAGAACTCAGGCTCGGGGGAGGAAGATTTATTACTTGAATGAAACCTGATATGAATGGTGGCTCGGTTGAACCGACATTTTCTTGGAATGATCTTACCTGAATCTCAATTAAAAACGCGGAAAATGAGTTTTTTCCTCCGAGCTAGCTGCATGAACATAGAAATATCACCTCTACTTTGAAGAAGATGAGCTGAAAACTGATTAAGAAAGGTGGAATTTAATCACGCTTGAGGGTCAGTTACCAATGCGCAACGCTTTGACATAAAAATTTTGCTTGATAAAGTTATCTGTATGATTACAAGAAGGCCGTGTTGCCGTTTGGTTAGCGTATCAATTTGTAAATCTATTGACTCGATGGCTAGCGGTTCCGGATATTTGAATTTTGGACCAAGCATGTTATGCTGTCTATATTGCTCACCAGATTGCTACACTCCACTGCTGGAGCTGGTTAATTCAATAACCAGTGAACAGTGTCACCTGTCAAAACCACGTAACCTTTTTTTTACTATTTTGATCACTTATTAGTAATTCGAATTTCTATTTATTAGTGGTAGTGCCGATGTCTACGACATACCCTTTCTAATGATCCTCTTCTAACAAATTTGATAGTTTATTGATTGTAGAATTTCACACGTAATATATCTTTATTTCTCAGCGATTCAGTATTGTGTTGAGATCTTTTGGACGCTAATGTTATAGTATTATTAACGACTATATCAGAAATGTCCTTATAAAATATCGTTAATCCCTCGTAGAGTTGGTTCTGTCCATTGGTAACCAGCTCCACCTTGTGATTTGTTTACGTACTAGCCGTATATGGATTTTTGGTCCTATCACCTTCTTTCAAAATTTGATTTCCTATCACGATACCTCCTGCACCTATCGAGATACCTTCTTTTCCTATCAAGATACCCCAAACACCGGATTATGGAGTAGTATCCTTTATTTTGTACCATTCGCTTAGCTGTTTTGGTTTGGGTGCTACCCCGTCCATTTTCTATTGAGATTAATGCATGTCATGAAGAAGCTTATTTAACATCTGCTTCCTTTTAGTGGAAAGGCATTGCGGAGAAGCACCATTCACACTCCACCAGCCTTGTTTTGTAGCTGCCTTGTAGCTGTTCACAGCCGATTTTTCTGGAAGCCATCCCTCCTCCTTGGCAAAAAATCTGATGTGAACAGGTGATATATCATTTTAACTGAGTATTTTATAGATATTTCTATACTGATTATTGCTGACTAAAATTCTTAGATTTTGTTTGGCATTTTCCGTATTCAAATATAAGGCAGTGCCAACATGTCACCTTTTTTTGGGCCTACCACATTACATTGATCATGGTTTTGATCTTTGAGCTGTCATAACTTTATCTTAGAACAAGGGATAACTTTCTGAGAGTATATCACTTTAGTACATTTTTATCTTGCTTTACTTTTCTTGTAAAAGATAGTGTACATTTTTTTTCTACAAGTTTTGAGTGTTTTAAATCTGTAGTTTTGTCTCAGACAGAGAATAGATTTTTAAATAGTCTTTCTCTCTCTAGGATTTTTTTCATAAACCGTAAATTTTGGAAAACTCGGCAAGCAGTCCCTACCTTGTGAGCTAAGTACATCTCGGCTGCTCCTAGAGCCGTAACGGAATGAAGACCAATGTCCAGATAAGCTTAGACTTAGGCGTTAAAATGTTTGTAAAACCTATATTTGTAAAGCCTTCGTACGTGTACCATAGTAAACGTTTTGAAGGGTTGATTATCACGGTCTAAGGTAGTTTTGAATAATATTCTTTTTTTAACTTACTCTTCAGTGGTGGAGCATATGTGCTGCTTTTTTCAGTAATATATTGTGGTTCTTTTTTTAAATATCTTGTTTTATTTGGCTCTCTCTGTACAATTCATTAGGTTTTGTCATTACTGTGAGATTTTCATTTCTTTTGTGTGGGTGGTTAGGCAAAACCATTTCGATTAACACCTCGTGGATTTTGGGCTTAATCCGTCTTAAGTCACTGGCGCTCCTGACCCTAGGGCCTAAATTTGCACGCCACCAGACAGATGTTTTGAATTGAATGTCCCTTAGGTTTCATTTATAGTGTTTTATTTATTTATTAATACATTAATTAAATTTAAAAAAAAGGAAAGAGGAATCACACCACCATTTCCTCTTATACTAAGTGACATATAAATCCGAACACCCAGTTTAAATGGTTTTATTTTAATAAAATTTTGTATAAGTACTTAATGAAGCATAATAAGTAAATGATAAAAATTTCAAAATGATTGCACTGCTTTAAAGCCCTTTGACCTTTAATAATGTGTGGATGCACCCTGATGTGCTACGCATTCTCCAACGCGCCTAGGCATGCTTCTGATCAGGTGGTCAATGTCCTCCTGTGGTATCTCATTCCAGGCAACCACCAACTCCTCTCGAAGTGCTTCTAGAGTCTGAGGAGGACGTTGCAAATTGAGCAATCTCCTATCCATCATATCCCACACGTGCTCAATTGGGAATAAGTCGGGAGATCTTGGTGGCCATGGTAACAATGTGACATCATTATGTTGAAAGAAGTCTATTGTGACTCTTGCAACATGTGGTCGGGCATTATCTTGTTGAAAAGTCGGATCTGCCAGGGTGTCAAGATAGGGTAAAAGATGGGGTTCTAGAACTTCGTGGATATAACGCTGCGCATTCATGTTTCCGTTGATGAAGATTAAAGGTGACCTGGAACCATAAGCTATAGCACCCCAAACCATAACTCCAACAGTGTGATGAACATGTCTCTCAACAAAAAACTGTGGATTCCTCCTTTCACCACATCGCCTTCTAACCCTGGCACGACCATCGTGCATGCCTAAACAAAATCGAGACTCGTCACTAAAGACAATACTGTTCCATTCCTGATCCCAGAGTGACCGTTGTCTGCACCACTCAAGGCGATTACGTCGGTGTTCTCGAGTTAAAGGGAGGACCCAGTGTGGCCGGTATGAAAACATGCCAAAACTTCTCATTCGTCGGTAAACATTTCGCATGCCAATCGGTCTTCCGTGTTCTGCAAACCATTCATTTGCAATGGACCTGGTAGTGGAGAAACGGTCCCTTAAGGCCAATAATCTTAGGCGGTGATCTTCACGGTCTGTTATTCTACGGCGGCGTCCAGTGCCCCTTGCTCTTTGCGTACTGCCTTCTCGAAGCCATGCCTGACAACACCTAACCACAGTGTCTACACTTCTTTGCACTCTAACTGCAATTGCCCGAAAAGAAAGTCCAGCTTCCCGAAGTCCCACTATACGGCCCCTATCAAACTTACTAAGTTGGCGAAATCGTACAGGTCTCCGTACTCTAGGCATCGTAACCGATTGTAAAGGATGTCAGGAACCAAAATCCGCCAACGTTGATTCTTTACTGCGGCTGAAGTATTCATTTTTAGAGCGTTAGTGAATTAAAAAAAGCAGTATAAAAACCGGAATGTCCAACTGATAAGGCAGAAAATTTTTTCACTTGTTATTTATAGTAAGATAAATACATTCACCAACTTTTATTAAAATAAAACCATTTAAACTGGGTGTTCGGATTTATATGTCATTTAGTATATTTATGAAAAGGCGTGGCAACAGTAGATGGCTTGTGGAGTAGTACAGTGTTTGAACTACGGGGTCGGCAAAAAGGGTTAGAGGTGATCTAGCTGCCAGGCTTCGCATCCCCACCACCACTACTGCTAAATGGCCATAAGAGAAATAACAAGGCAAGAAACTTTAACTTATAATGCTTTAATCTCGTGCAATATCTATGTTAATTTAATCCATCTATGATCGTGTCATTATGTAGTCTTCTGCTTCTTTGTAACATCACAGTATTAAATTGCAAAATCAGAAATCCAATCTACGGATGGTCAGAAGCAGAGTGTAGCATAGCCTCACAAACTGAAAAAATCACAAAATTCATGATCCATCAGAAGTATACTAAGTAACATAGGGAAAAGAACACCCAGGAATAATGAACTTATCACAAAGATTATCTAGATATATGTTTGTTAAAGGTGGGACATAAACCGATCAGCTTTTCAGCCATATCAGAAAGTTAAATAACAAAAATTACAATAACCCCGGTTTTTTTGCGTCTTCAGAAACTTTGAGAAGCATTGCGGGAAATCTCTATCGTGCTCGCACTGAATGTAGTTAAGCCATATCACAAAAAACAAAATAGGAATGTCGCATCATACACAAAACATGTCCGCGCTGGCTGATTTGTATTTTTTACTTGACATCGCAAAATACATTTCTATAAAATTTAAAAGACGAATTAAAAAATAACGTAAACTGTAACAATCTTTTCACGTTTCATGAAAATTCCTGTCTGTAGCCTATTTTCTCGCCTGTTAGTTGTTGTAATATACTTCACTAAGCAGTGATTTTTTATTTCTCTCATTTTTGAAATTCAGCAAATTTGCATATGTAATTTTCAGGATGTAGCATACATCTCAAGTAAGAGTATTTGAGACAAGAAGCTAAGATGGTTATCATTAACGCAAATGATTAGCACAGACATCCTCACTATGCACCTATACAGGGTGACTTTGAAGTTGAGTCATTAATTTTCAGATAATGATTGTAGAAGGAAGATAAACCAAAATGTGTGTAAAAATAAAAAAAAAAATTTACCTTGTTTTATAAAGTATCCTCCCGACAAGTATTTCAGTGCGGACCTGTATTTGATCGTGAGGTCCCCTGTGAGGTCTGAAGTCACCTGATTCACGAGCCCGTTGTACTACTATTAACAAAGGCACGAGGGGTTGGTTGCACTCGATTGGGAAACCGATCCGCATAAACATGTGCCATTTTTTATTTCGTTTGAGCCACGCAACAGATACTATTCACACGCGACTGACACTGATTGTATGTATAACTGAACTGAATAAAGTAAACATCGTTCCAAATTCTTTCGCTTTTTTGTTTCCGATGCGATGAACCGATAAGGTGGATTATATCCGTTGTTGCCAAACACCAGCACATGATGTTATTGAGACAGGGCGGTACTCAAACTTCCAAAGGGCTATAACTTTGTTACTTTAATTTTACCAGAAAAATGGTAAAGGAAAAAAACATTTCTTTTGATCAGATCTACTCACTGTTAAAATAAATGACTCAACTTCGAAGTCACCCTGTATATGTATTGCCGTTTTCTTCCAGCTATAATATACAATTTACAGCTTAGACCTCCAATAATGCCATCTCTGAAGCAGATATTGCATCACAACAGAACCAAACATTGATAGCTGAAGCGTCATAATGTTGAGGCAACACATACAGCTACAAAACGAGTGCACATAACGTGAACAACAACTAGTTCTAAGTTGGCATCTTGCAGAAAAACCTACATAATGTCACAAAAACCTATATAATGTCAAAAAATCGATAATGTCACTTTTCAAGGTACGTAATACCCCTGCGGGTCTACCGGAATTTGAGTAGTATACTTTCTACAAGTTTATTCCTTATACCTTATTCCAGCTGGCAAAAACATGAACCGGCATTTTTTAACAACTCTAGAGCATCAATAAAAGCGTTGAATGGCAGGACAGAATGATTAGAATCACTGTTTATTGTAATCACTAATTATAACTGGAGCACTTAGAACAAGTCTACCTAATAATTTCTTTTGTTCTTCTGTATCATTATATCTGCAAGAAATTGAGATTCCTCTCAGGCGATTTTGCTCTGTGTATTTTCAAAGCTAGCATCAGGCGAATTCGCATCGGACACGCGTCATCTGGGCTAAGCCTACTAAGATGGCACTATAGACTAAAATCAAATACCAAATTGGAAGAGAGCGTTACGCACTGTACTGCACTGGATTTGGAGCAGTGGCGTACTATCTTACAATTTAGTAATTGATTCTAAAACTTCTAATTTTTTTGCCTTACACTAGCACATAACGTCATGTTGACATGTAAATCCCCAGCACATAATTCCATTGGTGATGAACTATTAATGAGAAACATAAGTAACATTTTTTTGTTCTTCGCGTTCCATAAATACCAAGGAGTGAAATAAGCCAGTTTAAACGTCCTTGAGGTCTAAAACAGAAACATTATGGAAGTAATTTAAAAAAACTCATGAATGTGTTCAAATATTTAAAAAAATATATCTCAATTTATGATGTTAGAAGTCAGAGATTTCGGTTGTAACCATTTACATTACAACCATTTATTTAATTTAACTTGTATGTTAGTACGTATCTTAGTATATGTATGTATGGGATAAATCTTGGAACTGAATTTTGAACCAGCTAACTTTAACCAATTAGCTGAAATTTCGTGCACATGTTTGGTTCCCGTGACAATCAGTGATGGCCGCATTGCATACATCATGTATAATACACCATTGTATACGCGTTTACACTGGTGAATATATACGTCTCGGAAGGCATTCTCCGGAATAGCCTTGAGAGCCGCGCTGATAACGTGCTCACTGAACGTCCAAAACCTTAACCCAGTACCCTTACCCGTAAATAAAACTTCATCACCCTGTATCTCGCTAGGAGGCATCTTTGGACCCAAATTTATGAGACTCTATTTTGATATTTGCTATCCTAAATATATTGGCACCCCGTGTATAAGTATAAAAATAGTCATTTGCATCATAAATAACTAAGAAATAAAAAATAAGTAAAATTAAAAATCCGTTTTAAAAACAGAGTTTTACTCAGCTCTCGTTAAGGTGAACTTAAAGTTTTAAAATATTTTTACTGATTGGAAACATTTAAACATTAACGAACCTTCATCTCCAGTTGTCATATAAATGCGTGTTGCGTTTTAGCAACAGAATCGAAAATGGGAAATATATTTTTTATTTTACTTATTTTATCGTGGGTGCCTTGTGTAATGCTAGTGGTAGGTACATACATCACTATTGACTACTATTTTTCATATTTCTCTCACCTCATTAACTAAGCTTTGTCCAAAGTAGGCATAGAAGCACACATTTGAGAGAAAGCTCACTAAAAATATACTTAGTACAATTAATTGGTTGTCCTGAAAGCAAAGGTACTCTATTACTCATGAACCACATGTAAGTATATGTATACGAGGGCTGATCATTATACCTTGCTCCTAACCCATTTGCAATAAAGCTACATTTAACTTGTACTATTTATTTTTCTACATAATCCCTACAAACATCAACATTCTCGTTCAACCGGAATTTCAGCATTTTCAATTGATATCAAGTGGACGAACATATGTGTGTTACCTCAGTGATACACATCTGGACCCCGCGCTTCGCCAAACTTTCTATTTTATAGAATTGTTTGTTTATTATTGTTTGGCAAATAAAGACTTTTATTATTATTATCAATAGCCTTCTAGCTGATGCTAAACACCAGTCTGCACCTGTTGATCACTTGAAACTTTGAATTTTTGCATTTTTGCTTTTAAATATTTTAGAAAATATACGTATTTTAAAGGATTTTTCGCGTAACGTTGAAACTACCACATCAGCACTGGTGCTGTGGAATTTTCATTAACAGTAGCCCGAATTTTGGGAATAACTTTTTTATTTAATAATATTATTCAACTACATTCCATGAGCGTGTTAATTGAATAATACTTATCATTACATTGCCTTTCATATATTTTTGCAATTCCTTTGGAACAAATAACAAATTGGCCCAGTGAACATAGTGACGTCATGATGTCGGCATTGTCATGTCATTATGATGGTCTAATGTCACACCCAATCGACGTCATCAAATGAAGTCATAGTATGTCGTATAACAGTCCAAATACAAAGTTGATATGACGTCCATATGACGACGATATGACGTCTATCTGAGGTTGGTATGACGTCGATATGACAGTCGCAAGAAGAATCGCGCGGTGTGTCCACATGCTCATGAAAAGTTTACTCAGTTACACTTTCTGGTATTTTGAATTTCTCTTTATTAATGGTAGGGTGCCGATTCCTAGGCGAAACCCTTTTTAATGATTTTCTTTTTGCAAATTGCATAGTTTATTGACTGTACAATTTCACACGTATTATATCTTTCTCACCGACTCAGTATTGTGTTGAAATCTTTAGGACACTAATGTTATAGTATTTTATTAACGACTATCTCAGAAATATCCTAATAAAATATCGTTGGTCCCTCGTAGACTTGGTTTTCTAGGGCCCGCCAATTGGCAATCAGCGCCACCCTATGGTTTCTCTACGTACTAACCTACATAAGAATATTTGGTTTCCTATCAAGATACCTTCTGTACCTATCAAGATACTTTATATACCGGTTTTTCTACGTTTCTCTTGGTTTCCTATCGAACATACCTTCTTCAAGGCCACTCATTTAACCTTCTCTTAAAAAGTTAGGTGTTCTGCGTCATTAACTTATATGCGGTGCATGGATCGTTTGTTCAATTTCCAGACTCTGGGATATTAGGCTCCAAACACCAGTTTATGGAGTAGCACCTTTTTATTTTGTACCTTACGTTTAATTGCTTGGGTTTGGGTGCCACCCCGTCCATCTTGATATGGGATTTTAGCCCTCAGCGTGGGAAGGCATTGCGGAGAACCACCATTCACACTCCTCCAGTTTTGCTTTGTAGCTGCCTTGTAGCTGTTTTGCAGCGGATTTTGCTGGAAGCCATCCCTCATCCTTGACAGAAAACCCTGATGTGAATAGGTTCTTTTATACCGTAGATTTTGAAAACGAGGCAAGCAGCCCTTACCTTGTGACGTCCCTCACGTCACTGCTCACTGCTGGCCATTCGTTTTTGACCCGAGGGTTTGTGAGCTTATGACATCTCGGCTGCGCCTAGAGCCGTAACTGGAAGAAGACCACTGTCCAGATAAGCTTAGGATTAGGCGTATAAATATCTGTCATGCCTTGGTTGCGGGGTTGATTATCACAGTCTAATAATTTTATTGTGCGGCAGTTCAATAATATCATTTTTTTTAACTTGTACCGCAACATGTGTACTGTTTGATTAGGTAGTATATTGTATTTTTTTAAATGTCTTGTTCTGTGGCTCTCTGTGTACAGTTATGTTCCGTCCTCGTCGAAGTAAATATTTAGAATACATAACGTAATACCCTCGTAGCTCACCAAACCCCCACGATTTCAAAGTGTGCACGCAGCGAAGGAAAGTCCTTCCTCTCTGTCCGCCTATAAACACTCATTCCTTGTTCTCGTTCCAAACCGTTAACATGTCAATCGGATTCGCGCGTCGTTTTTATACTAAGTGACATATAAATCCGAACACCCAGTTTAAATGGTTTTATTTTAATAAAAGTTGGTGAATGTATTTATCTTACTGTAAATAACAAGTGAAAAAATTGTCAGCCCTATCAGTTGGACATTCCGGTTTTTATACTGCTTTTTTTTTAATTCACTAACGCTCTAAAAATGAATATTTCAGCCGCAGTGAAGAATCAACGTTTGCGGATTTTGGTTCTTGACATCCTTTACGATCGGTTACGATGCCTAGAGTACGGAGACCTGTACGATTTCGTCAACTTAGTGAGTTTGATAGGGACCGTATAGTGGGACTTCGGGAAGCTGGACTTTCTTTTCGGGCAATTGCAGTTAGAGTGCAAAGAAGTGTAGACACTGTGGTTAGGTGTTGTCAGGCATGGCTTCGAGAAGGCCGTACGCAAAGAGCAAGGGGCACTGGACGCCGCCGTAGAACAACCGACCGTGAAGATCGCCGCCTAAGATTATTGGCCTTAAGGGACCGTTTCTCCACTACCAGGTCCATTGCAAATGAACGGTTTGCAGAACACGGAAGACCTATTGGCATGCGAAGTGTTTACCGACGAATGAGAAGTTTTGGCTTGTTTTCATACCGGCCACACTGGGTCCTCCCTTTAACTCGAGAACAACGACGTAGTCGCCTTGAGTGGTGCAGACAACGGTCACTCTGGGATCAGGAATGGAACAGTATTGTCTTTAGTGACGAGTCTCGATTTTGTTTAGGCATGCACGATGGTCGTGCCAGGGTTAGAAGGCGACGTGGTGAAAGGAGGAATCCACAGTTTTTTGTTGAAAGACATGTTCATCACACTGTTGGAGTTATGGTTTGGGGTGCTATAATAGCTTATGGTTCCAGGTCACCTTTAATCTTCATCAGAGGTAGCATGAAAGCGCAGCGTTATATTTATTTATTATGCTTCACTAAGTACTTATACAAAATTTTATTAAAATAAAACCATTGAAACTGGGTGTTCGGATTTATATGTCACTTAGTATACGTTTTCAGCAGTGTCGAGAAACCGCTGGACATTTAGAATTAGACAACAGGAAACAAGGTTGGCCGATAGATGTGGGTGGTCGGCAAGCTGCCGACCGACGGTTGCCTTAGAAAGTGGCGTGCAGGCGTCTTTATCTAAAGGGGCGACACCATCAGGTAAATGTCAACTAACCGATCTGTTTTAGGTGCAAGTTAGGTGAATATTGGATGTCTCACCAGCGTTGCAGACTGTGCCTGACACGACTTTTGGGATAACGTTCTGGCACTGTTGCTTGCGATAGCAACCTGGACCTAGCTCAGCTCCACACCAAGGACGAATGAAGACGTTTGCGATAATGACTCAATACTGAACTCCGCTGCTTGTAATGGTAACTTGTACTTAGTTTCCGATGGCTAAGATCCTACGACAAATAACAACACTGAAAGCGTTTGGGACAACGTAGCAACAAAAAATGGTCAACAATTTCTTCTCATTTGCTAGGGATAGCAAATTTCACCTGGTTTGTGATAACCATGGGACAGGACTGTAAGTTTGAACATGAGAGGTTAGGAAGAAGAAATATTTTTTCCTTATTCCCAGATAGATATTAGGTAACTAATGCGAGGTAGCATGGCGACTGGACCATCTATGAACTACCGACCTTCGATAGTCTCTCAATTGGTTAGCTGCGGTGCTATCAGTGAAAAAGTTGGGCTAACTAAAAATCAGCACCTATCCAACTTTTCTGATGGGTCAACACGTTTGATTCCTTACCTCAAGACACTTTGTCTGTTCACAGGGATAGAACACTGAAGTCTAGGCTATTGAACTGGGATGAGACTTCTCCGTAGAGTCACTTGCTTAACAAATCTGGATTTGGAATATGCAGAAATTTTGGTACCCATTAGGGAGAATCGTAGAATATATTTCAGATTCATATTCAAGGGACAGCTCTTCCAATACAATGCTGTACCGTTTAGGGTAAATTGTGCCACTCATGTGTTCACAAAGCTAATAAGACCATTTCTGGCATACCTTAAGAAAAAATGGGGCACTTTTCGGCCCAGTATTAAATTGTCACAGAAAGAAAGTATCTTTACTTGAGCGGACGATGCAGACATTACTAAACCTAGTCAGGGCGATAGTGGACAACAACCAAGACAGAGTCCGAAACTTTGCGGTAAGCATTGAGAACTTGGTGTCAGCTTTTGGTTACAGCCGACTATACACTAACGAGTGAAATTTTTGGCCACGTAAAATTCTCAAGGGAATTTTAAAGCTACTATGACACTAAAATAATATAACTTAAGACCTACCTCGGCTAGGGCTCAAAGAAACTGACAGATACGGTCAGATGTATTGAATTATCTATTCTATAATTTCTCGGACTGGAACATTCGTTGGCCAGGGAAAAGTCTCATAGCTTTTGGTCACCCAAGAAGAAGATCCCGTATGCTTATCATCTAGAACCACTGGCAGTTTTATTCTGTGGTAAATGCTTTGGTCCCGAATTGATGTCGCATATTATACCCCATCCTACATCAATAGAATGAGGAGCTTCTAGTTTCCACCGCTGGACCACGTTGCAAGAAAACTACGGCAATTGTGTAAAGAGAAAAATCTTACTGCCCTCGCGTCAAATATAAAATCTAGGAGTAATATGACCTTTTGCGTCAGTGGCACGTGGAAACGGAGTGGGAGCTACACCTGTCACCGTTCTGATTTTGGTTCAGGTATTCAGTGCTTCTGGAATTTCACTTCTAGAAGCAACACAAGGATCTGATGGAGGGACCCAGGACGCCGCTCCACTAATTCTGAAGCTTACCCTTGTGGTTGTCACCGTAAAACTGTCATTCCAATCAGCATCTATAATATTATGTTATTGTGGGCTTAGATTACAGTAGGACCTTTGTCAGGAAGGAATACGTGTCTGGCTTTCCAGCTTGAAATTTCTCACCTTACAGTGTGATGAGAGATCAAGATATAATTGTTTGAGCTATCAGTCTCTTAACCAAAATGTTACTAACGATGCAGGCATAAGATAGTTTTTGAAGGGCATTCACAGGCTGAGGCCATCTCAACTGAAATATCGATACTGTGGTTGTTCTCACTCAACCAAAGGGGTTGCTGGTAAGCTCTGTAGACATTCGAATGAGGAAATCAGATACACTGCTAGCCCTAACCTCAGGTCAGAGTGTGCAAGCCAATTGAAAAAGACAACATCCGGATAGGGTTGAATAATTAGTTTTTGAAAGTGTCGGGGTCACTCATGTGGCAACCACATTCAGTTTACGCCCAAATATCTGTGCAGTCAAAGTATTTATTTGTCACTGAACAGTAACTTTATCATGGTGCCTCTGCTCCCAGATGAATGAAGTCTGTTTTAGCAGAGAGAGTCATAATTGACCATCCACAGTGCATGAAATGCGTCTACCTCTGCGCCTGCTAAATTATAGTAGTCTCAGGGTCGCGGAGGGGTGGAGTGCGTTTTCTGAGATACGTTACAAATCTCTTATGCCAAACAATAGCTTTGCTCAAGCGGCATTTGAGGTGAACCAAGTCTCCACACCCTAAACATAACTATGTTATTACGTTATTTGCTTATTCCCATGTAACGGATGGTAATTTTGGAATTAAGTACGTCACATTACCTGTTGCTAAAAGCCCTAATTTGAGTTGTTACAACGGAAATGTACATTTAGTTGACACATACATTGCGTACAATTTGTGTAGTTGTGTACAACCTATGGTTTACTATTGCAGAGCGTTAGTAGTATGTTGTTGCAACTAGCTTTCAACATATACGATATGTATTCTAAATATTTAGTTCGACTTCGGTCTTAATTATGTGAAGTCCTCGTCGAAGTAAATAGCAATTCTTGCAACAACTTGGCTGTGAAGAAAATTAGTGTTTATAGGCGGCCAGAGAGGAGGAAGGTAGGGGCGGCGCGGTGCCGCTTTCCTTTGCTGCGTGCGCACTCTGAAATCGAGGGGGTTTGGTCAGCTACAAGGGTACTACGTTATGTATTCTAAGTACTTACTTCGACGAGGGCTTCACATAATTAAGATGGAACATCACTCACAGGTGCTTCTTCGCTAATGATCGGCTGAATGATATACCGTTTGAATTTGAACTTTTACCGTGCTTGATTTAAATATTTTGTAGTAAAAATTGTTTATTCTTATACATAGCTTCTAATAAATTTGTTATTCACGGGAATAAAACATAATGTAAGATGGCAATTTGAATTATCTGAATATGGAATATTATTATTAGGAAAGTCATATTAACAAGGTTTTTTTGGTCGAAGAATTCCTGATATTTTCTATGAATAACAATAAAGTAGTAGTATTGTTTATTTAAAGTCTATATTTTCTTTGTAGGTGTTGATTTTTCAATACTGAATGTCCTAAAAAAGACGTCAGAATGACAGCTTTTTAAAGGACGCATTGTACGTAGTCGTCATAAAAATGGCGTCATTAAAGACGTCATTTTTTTAGTCAATGATGTTTCCTACCAAAAGTGACCGAATAATGACGTGATTTTGGCGTCATCATGTTCACTGTGGGCATCTTTCTCTACTGGTATATTGCTTTTGGAACAAGATATCACGACTATAGCTACAAACGTGCTTCTACGCACTCGTCAAAAAAAAAAAAAAATAAAGTAAGCAAGGCCTTGCATCGAGTGACTTCACGCTCCATAATCAACGATGAAATGATGTTATCTTTATTCTCAACCTACATCTAAACAAGGGACGTCTTACCTGTAATGAGACATAAATCAAGGATGTTGACAGTAGTACCCCACCTATGAACAATGCATATATTGGGTAGTAAAGGAGCTTCTTACATCTTGAAAACTTACTGGAAATCAAAAGATATCATTTTATTAATACAAAACAGCTACAATAATTACGGGAAGCTTCAGCTTATCTATAGCCTCCCGATAATAATGTCTTCGAAAATGAGAAAAGAAACCATACCTTTGCGCTTCAAACTTAGATTTATATAAATGTTTACAATAACCGCATCGAACAAAACAAAAATAGACCATAAACCTGCCGCGTCCTGCCTGCTGCCGATATTTATTCATCGCAACTGTGATCGCAACTGTGATCGCAACGTTGTCGGATGGTCAACAGGACAGAAAGGGAGTTCCTAGATCGCAACGTTATCAAGTGGGTAGGGACTGCGGAATAATTGTATGGGTCTATCTGGCTGACTTAAAGCCTTTTGTTAATCACGTTCGCAGTTAATCTTTGTCTAAGAAAAAGTAACTTAACTGGACATAATCTTATATGAACTGATAACAGCGTTGCGTGGGAAGTACAGGGTTAACATACTTAAGGTCGTTGTTATAAGCTTTTATTTAACTTGACCAATATCTTATTATGTGTGCTACAAATCCTGAAACTGAATTTTGATCCAGTTAACCTTAACCAATTGAGCTTCAAATTATTTATTACCCTTTAGGAAATGAAATACATGCATAGGATTCGTCAACCTACATAATTAAAGATAATTAATAAATAAAAATAAACAACATGACAATTATAAACAAACAAACTCTGAGATGTCATAATAACATTCAGATACAAGGAATTCTTTCAAACTAGTTTCAGACTGATATTGGAATATTTATTAATATCGTTTGATAGCTTGTTAAATATTTTAGGTTCCACTATATCGGGCGATTTTATTCCAGCATTGTATTTGGCAAAAGTCACATTCTAGTCACTGAGATGATATTTTGTTTAAATCTTTGGTTCGCCTGACACTACGAAATGATATACACCTTAGGAAAAACCATTGTTATACATGGGAAATCATTTCTTGGCAACAGAGCATCGGCTCGTCTACTTTCATCGCTATTCGTACATATTTCCTACCGTTAACCGCAGACCTGTAACACGAATGAGAATAATAGGCAGATACGCTGTGTTGCCAATTTGAGTAGAGCTTCCCGAATTGTGGGGAATTTAGAGTTAAGCGTTGATTCATTCAAGCTTTTAATCAGCATGGCCTAGACGTTAGAACTTCATAAAGATAACATTGAAGCTGAATGCTGCTGGAGTATAGTGTTTCGAATATTCAAAGCGGAGCGGGACACTATACTCGTTCAATGGGTCATCAAACCACAGTCTTTTCAACAAAGAAATTATTTTACGAAAATGCGTTATATTTTCACGATTTTGTCGTCACCAAATCTCTGTTTCTCAAAATGTACGTCTATTGTAGAATTTTCAGCAAACTAAGCAAGAAACGTGATCTAGTATTTACTCAACATTACGGATTTCTCGAAATACATTAAAAAATGTGACCTAGATACCTAACTGCCCCAAGCTCTTTAAATATAACACCTTAAACCAGGGTTACCAGGTGCTCAGTCACGTTGATTGTCATGTTGTACTGCGCAAGTCAGCAAACAATCTGGCGTAATAAACGTTAGGAATCATCATGTATTGCCAGATTCCCGAATACCGGGCACCATAGTAAGCGTTATAGTTGTCCTTCAAAGTTGTCAAATCGCCCCTATGGCGCAAATTCGCCACACCAGGCAACTGTGCTATAAACAAACCCTGTTTATCACTAGTATTTGATAGTCATATGGTAGTTGTAGCCCTATCTAGCGGTCCATGATTTCTCTCAATACTGTTGTATCTCTACTGGCAACAAGAATAGGGATTACAAAATCATTTATACAATATACAAACATGAAAAATATGATTTGAACCATGAAACATTAATACAATTTTAATAGTTTGAACTTTTTTCATTTTTGGAATACTCTTATGTGGAATCAGCAGCTATTTTTCCCGAAATTTGGGTAGACTTAGATTTCTTAGAAATATGACATATTGGTATCGGCAACTCTGCGAATGGGAGAAACAAATCGCATTTGTTGAGCGCATCCGTCTAAGCGGTAGGCGCCAGCGCCCGTTCTGCCATCTCTCTCTTTTACCACTCTTCTACTTTACCCCGTTGTCCGTCACACTGCGACGCTGCCGATAGGATCCTACAATCGAGTGTCTTTCACGCACCTACATACTTTTCTATATTTTCATCTCTCTTCCTCATCATAATGTATAATAATGGTTTTTCCCAAGGTGTATATGTAAATTTAATAGAATGAGATTGATGAAAGCAACACAATAAGTGAAGTGACGTCATTTTGAATCCAATACGACGGCTGCTGAAAAATTGCTATTTAAATGTTTCACAGTCACCCCTGTTGCTATGGATATCAAATAGAAGTGCTTGATGAGAGAAACACAAAAATCATAGAGGCAGCATTCTAAATCCAATATGGCGGCCTCAGCTACTACTACTATTTATAATTTCCATGGTCACCGGTATGACGTGGTTATTAAACGAAAGAGCTTGATGAGAGAAACACATTAAGCAAAGACCCCCTTCTAAATTCCAAATGGCGGTCGCCCCAAAATATGTATTTATCAGCACATGATTTATGTTTATCGAAAGCTTATAACGCAAATAAAGTATCAAGTCCTATTAATAAAATATGAAAATTATATGGAAATGACTAAACTAGTTACTTTACGTCATACAAACTAAAAAGTAAACAAGTATGAAAAGAAAATATTGAATTTTGAAATACAGGCCTTTATTTAAATGATAAATTAAAATAAAACGAAATAAAAATTTGATAATACTTTTTCCCAATTGAAAATAATGAAAGCATAATAAAGCTCCTTCAACTATGTAAATAAAAGCGTGTTGAGTTTTAACAGAAAGATGGAAAAAGGGTGTAACATGATTTAATTTGAAAACATGAGGTAAAGGAGCGTCATTGTTGTTCAAGTATCTCCAATCGGAAAAAATATGTTTTAGTTCTTTTTATTGACATTCAAATACAAGCTTGTCTTTAAAAATGTGCGTTATTCTGTTATTTATTGAAATCCATGTGGTAGTATTATATAGCAAAATAACCAAGGTGATGCAACTACATACCTTACAAGAAACTGATGGTGCTGTATGCATTTTACTAAAATCACTTCTACATAGTATTGGTACACCTTATTATACCGCAGATTTTTAGCATGTCCAAAATACTTTTTAGGCTTGCTGAGTTTTTCCAGTAAATAGTTTATCATGGTAAGTTGTCTTCTAAAATGTACCAGTAGGTAGGCTACAACGTTCAGGGAATATACCTAAAAATGTCATTAATATTCCATTAAATGAAAATGACAAAAGCCTAGTAAGAACTGAAAATGGTGAGTTAGAACACGCTAGTGATGTAACAAATTTTCGCAATCGCATTTGCATCTGCATTCGCGAAATTTATGTGAATATTTTACGGACACGAATATCAGAAAAAGAGGATATGAAAATAATATTACCTACTATACATACTTCTATCGTCCGTTCGACCAAGGACTGTCAACCATGTTTTGTGCCTTTGGCTACTAATCAACATACTTAATGCGTGATCGATGGTCTTTGGACAACGAGCAACTATCCTATATCTAAGAGGTCTGGTCTGTCGGAATTAGTCAGCGCAATGCGCCATCTATTACCAGAATCGACCACTGCGAAAAGTTTATAGCAAGTACCCGTTGAAACTTCAAAGATCTCAGTTCGCAATTGTAGCCCAGTCACCAGTATGACTGCTGGCTGGCTGGAATATTTTTGAGTTTTTCGAGTAGGTGAGATTATTATGTATTTTCTCTAAAGAATGAAAGTATGGCAATGAGTCCTGCGACCTCTTCAATGAAGTGCCGAACATTCTCTAAGAAGATATCTTATAGTCGCCAGTTGATAATTAGATTGTACAGTCCTCGAGTTTTCCGAGCGAAATAAGTATACTTAAAACGGTAAGCTCATTGTTCCTTAAAACATTAAAATGGAAAACCATCTGGAAAACCGAAGAACTTTTGTTACAGTTTTCTTTTCTGGCCGATTAAAAATTAACGGCATCTCGATAAAGTGAATTATTACTGCTTATTTAGAAAAGTTTTATAGTAGTCCTTGGGAACATCGCATTTAATTTTTATAACAAACCACTTCTCTCAGTCTAATAATTGCAAGGTAGAAAATCGTACTCCACACTCCATCTCGTTGGAGAACATTTTTATAGTCTCTGTCGACCGTAAATACCGGTGCTCTAGTGTAGGAATTTTCTGGGGCCCACTGCCCGATTCTGTGAATAGTTCACACGATGAGTTTAGGGTTCAAAGGGTTGTTGGGTTGGTTTTTGTTAGAAATCGGTCTCCTTGGTGGTTTTTTTGTCGGAGCCTGGTTCTCACCCTCTTGAGGACTTAACCGTGCAGATAACTACAGTCAACGATCGAGCTGGTAAGTGACCATTTTCTCCAAGCCACATGTTTATTTCCTCAAAATGATTTCTAATTCTATAGAGAAGAACCGCCTGCAGGGTTAGTCCAAGGCTTTGGAGGAGCAGTACCCCATTGTTGGTGAACCGTCATTGTTCGAGGTGATTATGATTTTTTTTCTTTACTTTGCTAGGTCTGTCTTATTCTCGTACAAAATGAGAACACAACCACTTCGTTCAAAAATTCAGCATGAGTCCATCCGTAATTTGATTTGTGTTAGTTTAGGCGTGACATACCGTCACGTTACCCCCTTTCACAGAGTAAGTGCCTTCCTGCAATATCACTTGAAGCTCTGAGGGAAACAACAATTATCTTTAGACATTGGTTTCCTGTTTTAATTGCAATCTGCTGAGAGGGCCAAGCACGCATGGCCTACATTACTCTAGTCTAACCTGCATAATAAGAAATAGTGAGATCTATAAGGGAACAACTTTGAAGTACAGCTTGGTGGTGGATATAATTCTGAGCATTTTGGAGATGATTTCATGCATCCCTGCAGCATTCAGTAGGGATGATAATGAGAGCGTAAATAATTTCGAACAACTGCGATATATCGTCTACAGAACCTAAAATACGTTATTATATGGTTACGAACTGCCCAACTTGGAGGCCTTGTATCTCGTAAAAATACTCATGAAAAAAACCATGGACTAGAAACCCCATTTTAACAAAACTAGCGGGAAGCCGGTCCCTATTTTCTGCGGGATCTTTTGCTACAAATGAGAAAAGCGAGTGATACTACGTGAACCATCGGACTCAGGAGATGGTCCTCAAGTTTGCCGGAACAGCATTATCAGTTTTACAAAAGATACAGATAGTTGGAATAAGAATAAGGATAGCTAAGTTAAATATTCTTACCTTGCCTTGCCTCTACATATTTCATATTTAACTTTCTGCTAAGAATAAGTATAGTAGCTTATATTTATTTATATATTAGTTTTTCTTAAATCTCATGCGTCTACTTTTTATGTATTTATATTATTTGTGATTGTTTAATCTAAAGTGAGAGTTGATTAGTTTCTATACTTCACGTTATACGACCCTCTACATTTATATTGTACTGTCTTTAATGTAAATGTGTACACACATCTTGCAATTTTGTTTGCAATCTTTGATCCAACTTCTCTTGTAACTGTCGTTTACAGCTTTGACGTATTCTATGTCATCAATGATGATGCCTGAATAGAGATTACTATTATTATAATCACCATGTTCGTATTCCAATTGCTCGTCGTAAAAAACTGAGTATCATCTATCTCTACACTCAAACATATCAATCTGACCATATTTGCTGGTATGAACATGAATTAAAAATAGCTTGCCACAATTTGGGCGACAGTAAATTTTTTTGGTGGTGTCGTTAGATTATTGCGTCCTAATGAGTTCCTGGCGATAAAGAATAACATTGCCACTTTTTCTCTTCTACGAAATGACAATCAAAATTATCCAGCATTGATATTATTTTTTGCACAGATGTATAGTGTTTTTAACTCTGATTTTAAAAATATATAATTTGTATGCATTCACGTTAGGTACCAATTCCAGAGAAACAGAAGTCCTGGGTAGGCCTTGAAAATATCAGGTTTCATTTGTTTCGTATACCAGACTAGAAGTCACTAGGACCTTGAAATTATCAGATTTCATTTGCTTTGTAAACCAGACTAGACCTCAGATTGACCATCGCAACATGGTTTCGAAGACTGAGAAGAACAGAAATTAATCGAGCAGTGAACAATGTTCAGAGAAGAGTTAGGATTTGGCTACAAAATAACGAACCATATTTTGAACATCTGCTATGATCTACCTATGATTATATATGCTTGTTATTTTTATTACCATCAATATAATTTTCATTTTGTGTTGAGGTTTTACCATACCGTTTTATTTCCTTATAATTTTCATGGAACAACAAATTCATGGCCAATTAAGGAAACACATCACTGGATTTGGGACTGAAAAGTCCACTTAAATGTACAAAATTTCAATATAGCAACCATATGGAAAAACAAAGATGGTGGTGCAAGAAGAAATGTCGATTTGAAAATTTGACTAGTCCATCTTGTAGAGAATAAGTAGCATTGACGTCATGCAATTTATTTTGAAATTCCTTCTCAAGCAAAGTCAGGAAAACGTAAAAGTGCGTTTGGGATAAATCTGGTATGCGAAAAAAATGACTATCCGATAATTTCAAGGCCTACCTAGGAAACTCTGCTTTTTTGAAATAACTAAGGTTTGGTAATATCAATTTATGACGTATCATACATTTTTGTTGATTACGCCAATACGTAACTTTATTTAAGCGACTTTGTATCCCAATGGTGAAGGTCCAATTTGAAACACCCTGTATATTCAAGAAAATATTGCTCTAAGATATAATATTTTTTTGTGAATAGGCGATGAAATTTTATTATAATATTACAATACTCGTAATCCATACCATAGTGAAGGCATTAGATATTACGACGAGGCGGTTTGCCTCCTGCATTATCACCCGAAAACTAGGGTCGAGGGAGAGAGCTTCAACTATATAGATCAATATGGTTGTTTCCCTTTGCAACACCAGGGACTTCATAATCGAGAGGGCTCCAAATGATACTGTCACCATGTTTCCCAATAAACAAGCCATGTTAAGGTTCTCCAGTAGTGCTAACTTCTTTGAATATTTGCCCAGGGTCTTTAAAGGCCAGCTACGAAACCTAATCTGTTTGTCCAATGCTAAAAATTCCTTGTTTAGGATCAAAATGAACAGTATATCTGCGAACACCTACAAAGCAACACAGATTTTGTTATATTGTGACGTATGTCGAAAGCTCCGATATTTTATAAGATAATTAAAAACATTATTTAACTATATTGTAGAAAACTACACACTCCTCACTTGGAAAATATGCCGCGCTCTACAGACTCATTCATTACTTCGCAGCAACAGAAACATACATTTTTTTTTAATGGAATGCGCTGTATATGTTACCGGTAATCTGCATAATTCTGGTCTTCTATGCAATACCTAGGCAACATATAGAATACCTGGGTTGCTCAGGCAATGTATGAAACATTATGAGTATTATTATCCATTACTTTACCTAGGTAATGGATACAATTGCTAGGGATTGTATACGTATAAAGTACATGCTGTTCCATCAACAGTGTGTAAAATAAATAGGTTTTTTTTATCAATGTTAGCCAGGATACCTATAAAATAGAACACGTTATGTTATTTAAAGTCAACTTTATTAAAATCAACAATTTTTCTTTTACTTTCCTGCAGAGATCGTGGTGTGGGCGTCGTTAGTTAACTTCTGATTCTGGGATATTCGACCCCCAAACACCAGTTTATGGAGTAGTACCCTTTTTATTTGGTACCTTACGTTTAGTTGTTTTGGTTGGGGTGCTACCCCGTCCATTTTCTTATGGTAATTCAACCTTCAGCGTGAGAAGGCATTGCCATTCACACTTCTCCACTTTGGTTTTGTAGCTGCCATGTAGCTGTTTTGCAGCTAATATTGCTGGAGCATAATCCGTTCTTTGCTCTCGTTTTTTAAATACATTACCGACTGCGCATTCGGTACTGTATGGAATACCTAGGCAAAGTATAAAGCAAATAATATTTCATACATTACCTTCACGTTTTAGGTATTCTATATATTACCTAGGTATTGTATAGATTACCGGATTATACAAATTGCCGGTAACATATATAGTGAAAGTCCTTTTCAAAGCAAGAAGTTTGGTATAAGATACTATAGAGATTGGATAACTACTGCTGTAGCTTGACAACTTGTAGAAAATAACTTTTCATCAAAATGGTAGATACAGCTCTTTGTTTCTCCTCTATACACGATGTTTATAGACGCAAAATGTACTTTACCCCGAAACATTCAAGTGGTACCTTTTATACATTTTTACGGTTTTTATTAGCGTTACCTTGGTATACAATTTTAGAGAGGTTATATTACCAATTGAGTGAATTCTAATATTCAAAAATTACGGGCAAACTAGTCAAATATCACATCATGTTTTGTGAAAAATCCTATAGAAGTGGCATATTTTCTAAGGAGCGAATAGTTTTATGTTTTATAATAATGGGTTTTCG